ACCATCTGTTGGTTCCTCCAAGTTATGCTTTATTTAAAAAGTCATTCAACCTCTCTGGGCCACAGTTTCTTCATTTATGTAAAGTAAGTACCGTGCAATGCTAACAGTCTTAGTTTTATTAAGGAAACACTGACTGCGAGTCCTGAGATTTCATTTACAGCATAAATCCCCACCATGAGAAAAATCACTATAATTTTTTCTTTGCAGTACAAATCACATTTTGATAGACCACTCCCCTCAACTCTAACCAAGAAGCACTGCTCAATGTACAAAAGTATGCAACAGGAAAACTAGCTAAGTTAAACTTTGTAAAAATCTCATTCCTCCATGTTTTCCAGTTACTGACAATCTCCTACATCTCAGCTGTTCTTTTTTTTTCCTTTTTTTGCAGAGGTTTTTTTTTTCTTTTTTTTTTCCACTATAGGGCGCGTGCGTTCGCCAGACAGAGAGAGACACAGAGACAGAAAGCGAGAAATCACCCCCCAGGAGGGATGGTCATGCTGCAATCCCTTCTCCTCCATTCTCCTCTCGGGATCTTGGGCACGCACGCACACGCGCCCGGCGTGAGTTTTAAGCCACCGGGTCCAGGACGCGAACCACGGTCTACTACGTGGGAGTCCAGCAACATAGCCATTATGCTAACTGCTGGTTTCCATCTCAGCTGTTCTTACAACTTCTCTAGATAAGTGTTTTTTAGTGATAATCTACCTGAAATTACTTTCTCTAGACTCAGTTTAATAGCTGCCTTTTGAACCATTTGACCCTTCTCTCACAGGGAGTACAGATTAGCCAGGAACCAGTTCTGTCACTACTATTTACTGACCACTGATCATGGGTCAGGCACTGTTCAAAAAAAGTTACATATTGCTTCTTTTAATCTACAAAACCCCTAAAAGGTAGGTATTATCCCTCATTTGAAAATGTGGATACAGTGGATCAGCAGGTGTGGTGGTGTTTAAGGCACTCGACTCCCACGTGGCCAACCACTGTTTGAGTCTGACCTGGCAGCTTGAAAATCACACCAGGCATATCTGTGTGTGAGTGTGCCCAAAATCCCAAAGGGAGAATGGAGAAGGGACTATGGCATGGCCATCCCCCCTGGAGGGGTGATTTCTCACTTTCCTTCTCTCTAACTCTCTCTCTCTCCAGTGAGTATACACATACCTATTGGGAAAATCCTTTAAAAAATGAGGATATAAACTCAAAGAGATTAAGTAATCATGAAGATCATACAACTATTAGATGGTTATGCTTTGACTTGAACCCGTATCCATCTGACTCACAAACCTCTCCCATTAAAATTTTTTTTTTTAAAAAAGTGAGCATTAAAGTGGAACCAGCAGATTGTGTAAATGGTTACATTGCTGGACTCCCACATTGTTGACCATGGTTCGAATCCTGGACTCAGTGGCTTAAAATTCATGCCAGGCACGTGTGCATCAGTGCCCAAGATCAAGAGAAGGGAATGGAGAAGGGATTGCATCATGGCCGTTCCTCTTGGGGAGGGGGGTGATTTCTCACTTTCTGTTGCCCTGTTTCTCTCTGTCCCTCTGGTGAGCACATATGCCCTGTAGCAAAAATCTCTATAAAAAAATAGTATTAAAGCAATAAATAATTTAATTTCCCCTCTGATAATTCAGAACACAGTTTAGAAAGAGATAAGACATTTCTTCTAATACAGGAGATGGGATTAAAGACGAATGATAAATATAGGTTTTTCTGGAAGGGAAAGAAGTTCATGGTTGATGACCTCTATTAATGCAGAGAAGAGAAATGAGAAATCCAGAATGTCAAATGTAAAAAACTGTATTATTCTAAAGTCCCATCTTTAAAAATAAATACTCTGATTGCCTAACTAGCTTCCATTTGTCTTAATTCCTGAGGTCTCATTATATTTCATACTTAGGCGAAGTCTATAACAATGACTCCCCCTGGGGCCAGGGGATAGTGGTTACGTCTCTGGACTCTCACATGGCTGACCACTGTTGAAGTCCCAGACCCAGTGGCTTGAAACTCACATTGGGCACATGTGTGTGCATGCCCAAGATCTCGAGAGGAGAAAGGATTGCGATGTGGCCCTTCCCTCCACGGGGTGATTTCTCACTGTCCCTCTCATTGTGTCTCCCTCTGGTGAGCACATGTGCCCTAGAGCAAAAATCTCTAAAAGGAAATGATTCCCCCAATTTTTATTTTAAATCTATAAAAACGTTGAGGAAATTGTAAAAATACACTTGTATACCTTTTACTTAGATCAACCCACCATTGTCATTCTGCCACAATGATAGATGTCTTTTTCTTCACAAATAGTTTTGGCTGAACCACTTGAAAGTAAACTACAGACATAAAAATTTTCTAAATAATGTAACCTGCATTTTACAAGAATAAGGGTATTTTCCTACACAACCATAAAAACTATCACATCTAGGAAAATGATCAATATCATTTAATATATACTCCATATTCAATTTTCCCAATAATCCTAAATAATATCTTTTTGGATCTAATCCAGTACCTAATCAAGGTTAACATGGTCAACTTGACTGATAGGTCTCTTTTAACGCAATCCCATAATGTTTTCTGGTCTGAATTTTTTAGTTCCCTATGACTGACTTTTTGAAGAGTACAAGTCAATTACCTTTCAGAACATCTCATGCATAGACTCTAATTATTTTCTTGTGATTAGATTCAGGTTAAATTTTTTAGTCAGAATGCCTCACAAGTAGAAGGTGATTATATTCTTATGACTGAATTCAAGTTAAACATTTTTGATAAAAATACTATGTAAGTGATATTGCATACTTCTTATCATGTCATATCAAGAAGTACATAATGTCAAGTTATCGCACTATTGGTGAGGCTGAGTTTGATAACTTCATTAAAGCAGTAAATGTCAGACAGCTCTGTTGTAAAGGTATATTGTCTGCTTTATAATTGTAAGCAATCTGTGTAGTGATACTTTTGTGACCACATAAACACCCTGATCCCTCAAAATTTTAAACTTACTGGTTTTAGTATTCATTCATTATGCAGGCCTGAATCAATTATTATGCTATGGCTACAAAACTGTCATTTTTCTCAATGAATTGTACGACTAAAATGGGTGAGTTTTACTGTATGTAAATTATGCCTCAATGAAACTGTTTTTTAAAAATTTAATTCAGTGGGACCAGCAGTTAGCATAATGGCTATGTCGCTGGACTTCCATGTAGTCGACTGCGGTTTGAGTCCCAGACCTGGTGGCTTAAACTCATGCCAGGTGTGTGTGCGTGTGTCCCCAAGATCCTGAGAGGAGAATGGAGAAGGGATTGCAGCGTAGCCATGCCCCCTGGGGGGGTGATTTCTCGCTTTCTGTCTCTCTGTCTGTCTGGTGAGCACACGTGCCCTATAGCAAAAACCTCTCCAAAAAAAAAAAATAATAATTCAATAACCAGTAGTCCATATTTGGTCCATTTCCTGTTGGCATATTCTTTCTGCCAAGAAATGACTGGGTTGAAATATATTTTATAAATGAAGCTGGGTATTCAAGAAGAGGAGGTACTTAATTAAAAAAAATGTTCTGTTGAAAACATTTTTAATGGTGGTTTTCTAATTCTAAAATTCCTACAATTATTAGCTGGCATGCTTTTGTAAAGACTTTTCCCTGTACTTCTTATTGCTCTCTTGTTCTGGAGTATCATTGTGGTCTCATATATTGTTCTCCCTTCAATGTATTAGAGTCCATTATTGTCATTTTTTTTTAATGTTCAAACCATCCTAATTGGGCAGTGGGAGTTTCTTCAGGTATAATTTTGTGTCCTGATACAATACAATTACTCCTTGAACAATGTTTGCCTTCTTGCACAAAGTGTCCTATAGCCTGTCTGAGACCTGAGATCAGATCGTTCCCCAAAACTTGTTTCCTTTTAGTAGGAATAATATTTAGAAACCAAGATCTAAGTACTGGGTGGGCTATTGACAATGAGGTGTCTGTCATTGCTTCTATACCCATTGCCTAGATAGAACAAGGTAACAGGAATTCATTACTGTTATCTGCAATTCACATTCATAAAAGGAAAGGAAAAATACTTGTATTTCTTATTTTTCAATGAAAATCTTATTATCATTAATATCCTTATCATTTGCTTTACTTTATCTTATTTACAAAATGGCAGTACTATAATTATAGTATAAAATTATAGTACTATAATTCTGAAATTAACAGTAAATCTATCAAAAAAATTTAATATTTCTTTTGCAGTTCTTTTAATCATTAAGATGACAGCCCTAGTGAGGATGCACCATCAAGAACACTTATGTTGGGACCAGCAGTTAGCTTAATGGCTATGTCGCTGGACTCCCACATAGTCACCCGTGGTTCGCATCCTGGACCCTGTGGCTTAAAACTCATGCTGGGCGCGTGTGCGTGCGTGCCCAAGATCCCGAGAGGAGAATGGAGGAGAAGGGATTGCGGCGTGACCATCCCCCTGGGGGGTGATTGCTCACTTTCTGTCTCTATGTCTCTCTCTGTCTGTCTGGCGAGCACACGTGCCCTATAGCAAAAACCTCTCAAAAAAAAAAACACTTATGTTTAAAAGTTATTTGAACTGAGTGATTTGTATTATTAATTAGTTACGAAGGTTTATTTAGTTTTAGCATGTGCTTTATTTCAGTATGTCTTTATTCTCATTATTCTAGGCTGAATTTTTGAGTATATAAAGCATTTACATGGCCCTAAAGTCAAAACTGTACAAAGAGTTCTATTCAGGGAGGTCCTTCTGTTCCTATTCATTATCAGTTTCCTGTTCACCCTGTTTTTATTAATTTCTACTTTATCCTTTCTGTATTTAATTTTACAAAAATAAGCAATTATAGTTCTTTAGAACTAATGGTAGACATATCATGAATTAAGTAATACCCCTACAACTGAATTCTTATATTAGTGTAGTGATGAGCACACAACCTGACTTGTATCACATTTTCTATTTGCAATACATAAATTTGGTATACAAATAAATTCCCACCTGAACTCTGATCAATCCACTGCAGTGAGTCCATATGAACATTCAGGGATTTGCAGATCTGCTGGAGCTAAAAACATACATAAAACTTTTAGATTAAGTTTTATTATGATGTAATACATGAAGATAAACATAAAAAATTGAAATTAGGTAGTGACTTTTAATTTCTTCTGGTAAGAAATAGACAGAAATGTACTAAATAATAATAGATTTTATTGTTTTTGCTATTTAATATTTGCAGTGCTCTATATTCTATATATTAGTTCAAACTATTTTATAACTGTCAGGAATTATAATTCTACAATTCAATAATAAACTGACTTATAAAATCATAGTGTAAAAATAAAGACATTAGGAGGTAGATTACAAGATAAGAAGTTCAAATAAAATATTAAAAATAGCATAATTTATCAACCAAATCAACATTTTAAAAAAAAGTATATTATTCACGAGACCAGCAGTTAGTTTAATGGCTATGTCACCGAACTCCCATGTAGTTGACCGTGGTTCGAGTCCCGGACCCAGAGCCTTAAACTTACACAGGGCACATGTGTGTACATATCGAAGATCCCGAGAGAAGAATGGAGGAGAAGGGATTGCGGTGTGGCCATCCCCCCTAAGGGGGTGATTTCTTGCTTTCTGTCTCTCTGTCTTTCTGGCGAGCACACGCACCCTATAGCAAAAACCTCTCAAAAAAAAAAAAAGATAACATTCAGTTGTCAAGTATGTGAGAAAGACAGGTATATTCACATTCAGCCAATATTAATATAAATTTATTTAATCTGTCAAAATGTAAAATTTTTACACATACATGAAAAATTTAAAAATATCCATACCTTGACTATTCTAATTCCAGGAGCCTACCCAGAGGAAACAATCAAATATAAACAAAACTGGTCATTAGAGGGGTATTTTAAACTGGCCAAAAGTTAGAAACAATATGTCTAGCAATTAAAAAATGATTAAATATGTTATGATAAAGTCACCTATAATGAAATAATATAGCACCTTAAAAACTAATATTTTCAAAGAATGATTAAAATTTTGGGAAAAGACCATGAAAAAATATTAAATAAGACAGAATAAAACAATCTACACAGGTATGTTTCCCATGCCGCTTAAAACAAAAGAAGTGGAGCCAGCCCCACCTACAGCCTGGTGGTTAAGAAATGCTAGGTCCCATATGACTGACCATGGTTTCAGTCCCAGCACTCATAACTTGGGAAACACACCAGGCACTTATGCATGTGCACCGAAATTCCCAGAGAAATGGAGAAGAGATTTCTGTGTGGTCATTCCCCACTGGGGTTGGGGGGGGGGCTTTTTTCCCCTCTTTTTGGTGAGCACATGCACCCTCTGGCAACTAAAAAATAGAAACAAGCAAAACAAAAGAAGTACTTGTATAGCAAAAAGAGGAGAAAGAAACACACCAATTTACTGGCAGGTTTTTCATAACATAGGTGACTCATTTTTTAATGGATGTTGTAGGAAAATATGACTGAACACAAAGCACAATATGGACTTGCTTAATAAAAATTTTAGGTATTAGGTGGTCTTTCTCACATCCCATCCAAAAAAGGGAAATAAAAACAGGTACATGCCATCACCATGAATACTGGAACACACAGTTGCTAATTTTCTATTATGGTACACAGCTCACAGTAACAAAGCATTATTGATCTGGTTATAATAAATTATCCACAGAAATACTATTGTTCATCAAAATTTTTAATGCTTCTGGTCTAATAATTTATGCCATTTGAGAAGGGAGTTATTGCTGGTCTCTTGTTTCTTTTATATGCCATTAAGCAGCAATTATCCTTTAATTCACTCATTTTAAATATTCTAGTCACCTCTATCAGAAAAAAAAAAGACTTAAACAATTTACTATCTACTACTAAAATAAAATGAAACAATCCAAGGCTATATAGAGAAAAAGATAAAGACAGGATTAGTCTCCTTTCACTTACTCTGTTGAAAAGACTCCTCTTACATTAATTCAACACAGCAGGACTAGACATTAGCTCTGCATCATGTCTAGATCTACATGTCTATATAAGCATCAAAATAGTAATGATTTTGAGTTTTAGAATTACGAAGATAATTTATTTTTAAAAATATGTATTTTTCCAACTCCTTTTTATCGTCTGTGTGAACCTAGGGAGATGGTGGCATGAATAATACCAGACTATTTTATGATTGTCTTTGTTCAACTTCAGACTAATCCAAAGTAGAGAATGGCATCATTTTTATAGCTGAGAGGGACTTAAAGATCATTTAGTTTATCCTTGACATTTTGCAAAAGGAGCCAAGATCCAGTGAGATTAAATGACTTAAACAAAATTCTAATTGTTTCTCTAATACAACATGCTGTCTCTTTAAAAAGCTGGTAACATGTATGTAGATAAAGAACTGTGCATATAATTGGACAAAGAGCTTATTAAAGAGTAATTGCCACGTACATATAATATATATGTCACTCATCCTCACCTACCTACATCCTGGCCCCACTCCTAATTGTAACTGACTGATAGAAAGCACAATGGGAGATTCCTCTTACCATTATTGCCATGGAGTGTGTATGGGGAAAGAAGGACTTGATTTAGCTGCTAAGACAATAGGGAAAGGTAGAAGAAATAAGCTCTTTAATTAAGAGTACAGAAGGAGGAAAAAAACCAACTCTTAACATCAAATTAATTCACAGCATTTCAACATGGACTGCAGCCTCACCTGTTTACCTTATGAGTTAAGTAGTATATTTAGGGCAGGTAGAAACCTGATAACCATATTTAACATTCTATGGAAAAATATTTGTTAAGTCTCAAATATGAGTTGGGGCTTCAAAATATTCATGGGAAATGCATATTATAAAAAACTATGAATGGATTTAAATTTTTTTGGCACCAAAATTAATTCCATTTTCATGAACTTTTTGAAGTCTCCTTATAGTTAACTTACCAAACTTTTAAGATATTAAACTAATCATAAATTGGGACCAGCAGTTAGTGTAATGGCTATGTTGCTGGTCTCCCATGTAGTCGACCATGGTTCGAGTCCCGGACCCAGTGGCTTAAACTCACACCGGGTGAGTGTGCGTGCGTGCCCAAGATCCCGAGAGGAGAATGGAGGAGAAGGGATTGCGGCATGGTCATCCCCCCTGGT